GGGAGGGTGAGAGGATTGACCAGAGACAGAACAGGGAACAGAACAGGCAGACTGACTGAAATACACTGCTGAGGGGAGCAGCGGGTGAGACAGGAGAGGTCTGCTGCACCATGTGGGATTCTCGCCTGCTGGCTGGGATCAAACTCGTGCTGCAGAGGCTGCGGATAGCTTCACAGCGCTGCGCTCAACCGCCTGAGCCACCAGGGGAGGGCCTTAAGGGGTATTTTTTATGGTTAAAATTAAATGAGCAGTGGGCCTCCCCGGTGGCGCAGCGGTTGAGCGCTGGGTTGCGAAGCTGCCCGCGGCCTCTGCGGCGCCGGTTCAATCCCCGGCTGCTCCCCGGCCACCGGAGGAGGATCCCACATGGTGCGCAGACCTCTCCTGCCACCCGCTGCTCCCCTCAGCAGTGTACTTCAGCCCTTCTGCCTGCTCTGCTCCCCGCTCTGGCTCTGGTGAATTCTCTCACCCTCCCGCGCTTCTGACTGTACCCAGTGCATGTATAAACAAAAAAAACAAACAAATATAATAAATAAATAAAAACATGCCTCTATTAAAAAATAAATAAATAAAAAAAAAAATTAAATGAGCAGTAAAAAATTTACAGATGAACTTCAAGGATTAAAGCTCTATAATTTTATTCACTCTAATCACAAGGAGGGAGATGGAGCCATGTAGATATAAACTTCTCAGTTAACAGATATATTGCAAAAAGATTGAAGGCAGGTTGACTTGCAGGAATGCATTTAAATTGTTCAGTGAACATATGGAATGTTATTTCATTGGTTAATGGAATGTGACAAGAAAAAGTTCTTTTCATTTCACTGCTATTAAAGGCAAATAAAACCAATCTGACTGCATTAAAATTCTGAAGTTGAGCTTGGCAGAAACATATTAGAGAGGGAGGAGAAAATATCCCCCAACCCCAAATCTCCACCTGCATTTCAGAGATAACAGACAACAAAGAAGTAAGCAGAAAGCAAAACAGTGATTGTTAACAATAAAGTTTGGGAGGAAGGTGTAGTTAATCGCTCCCAACTATTAAACTCCAAAACTCAGTATTTTTCATAGCTCAGCAAGGATGGTGCTAGTAAAATTTATGATATGGGGTACAGAGAATACCTACACCTTGAGAAGAACTCACCCCTAAGAAAACTAAGGGAAAGAGCAGTGCTTTCTCTTTTTCATGTTAAAATGATATCAGTTCCTTTCCATGCAACCCAGAAACTGCAGACTGAAAAGGCGCACACTGAGGGTCTCCCTTGTGGTTCAGGGATTAAAGTCTCAGAGCTATCAAGCTATAGACAGCCACTGTGGCATGAGTTTGATCCCTGACCAGGAAGCTAACCCACATGGTGCAGCAGACTTCTCCTGTCTTGCCTTCTGTGCCCCTCAGCAGTATATCTCAGTAGATCCACCTGTTCTGCTCCCCATTCTATCTCTGTTCAATCCTCTCACCCCCTGCACCTCTGGCCTACACCCCAGTTCCTCTATGCATAAATAATAAAAAATATTAAAAAAAAGCTGCCCACTGAAATTTTGTTGTATCTTATGATTCTATGGGTCAGAAATTTAGACAAGGCTTAGCTGTGAAATTCTTTTGCTCTCTCTGGTGTTGGCACTGGTCATTTGGAGGTACTTAATTAATGGGCTGATTCAGAGATACAAAATGGATTTACTGACACGTCTGGCCATTACAGAGTTGTTGGAAGGTCCCTCCCCTTCTCTGTGCAGTCTGAGAGTCTCCCACCATGGTCCCTTCCTCTCAACCTCTTACATGGAGACTTAATATCCAAAGGTAAGTATTCCAAGATACAGGGCTTAGGGACGTGAGTCTCTTAAGACTTGGACCCAGAAACAGGCACCAGGACATTTTGCCCATATTCTATTTTCCAAATCAGATTCAAGGGGAAGAGAAAAACAAAACTGCATTAGAGAAGCTTCAAAGGATTTAAGATCTTCTCTATTGTGTGATAATTTGCCTGCCCTCCTATCCCACAAAAAACAGTCAGTGCCTCCATGACCCTAATGCTCTGCTCTCATTGCACTGCGTTATCACTCAGGCCAGGTCCCAAGCAATCATCATTATCTAAGTCAGGTCCAGGCATGAATGAAACTCTTTGGCTCCTGGGCATGGTTCCTTCTCTATGTGATGCCCTCTAAGCTAAAGAGACAAGTTATTCTACCAAGATAAAATGGTGAGAGAAAGATGAGTGTGATCAGAACTCCATTTCAAATGGAGAAGAAATAAGAAGTATAGCAGTTACTGGTAGTAAATCTGGAAAGCAGGATTGGGGACAGCTTTGCTCCCTGGGAATGGTATCTCTCTAATCATGGCATTGCTGTCTGATCTTTTTATTCTGCTCTCTAGATCTTTATCAAATGGAATGGCCAGTTTTTGCAAGCAAATGTCTTGTTCAGCCTGCTTCTTCTGCAAAGTAGGTTTGGGAGGTTCAAAGAAATGTTTTTATTTTGTATCTTTTAATTTCATACCATTTGTTTGAACCATACACATTTTATAGAAAGACAGAACCTCTCTACTTTGGACCCAGGGCAAGAATGCTGTAGGGCAATATCTTACTTAATATTCTTCAGAATGAGTATAGAGCTGACTATACTCATCCTCACAGGGAGAGACAGAGACCATAAGCAAGGGCAGGAAGACCTGAGGCATGGTCACACCAGGATGATACTGGGGCGATGGAAGAGCCACCCAGTCCTCCCCTCCAGGGTTTCCAGGGGCTCAAAAGCCTATTGAAGCTGGGCAAATGCATGTTCCCTAGAAAGAATTCGGTCTAAGGGATTGATAGAAAACTGAAGACTGGAACATGTGGGGGTGCTTTAAGCTAACTTCAGTGCTCCTGAAATGCACCTGCCCCTCCTCCACCCAGACTTGCTGGTCTTGCTAACCTACTGTAGCCTAAAGAATATGACTGGCTTCTGTGTTCCCAATATACACACTGCCCTCTCCCATCTGGGCTTGCTAAGATTCTGGTTAGCTTCACTTCTATTCAGTTCCCATAGTGTCATCCTGCCATCTGAGCCCTCAGTGCCAACGCTACTCTGCTCATATTTGAAACTCAGGGGAAAGACCGGAGGCTGCCAATAAAACAATGAAATATTTGAGGGCTAAGGTAAAGTATACTAAAGAAAGGCTGAAGTGGGCCTCCCTAGTGGCACAGGGGTTAAAGACAGTGCTATCAAGCTATCACCAGCCACTCCAGCAAGAGTTCCTGGCCGGCTTGGGCTGGCCAGGGTGCTAACCCACATGGCTCAGCAGACCTCTCCTGTCTTGCCCGCTGCTCCCCTCAGCAGTGTATTTCGGTCAGTCTGCCTGTTCTGTTCCCCACTCTGTCTCTGGTGAATCCTCTCACCCCCTGCACCTCTGACTTACACCCCAGTTCTTGTGTGCATAAATAAATCTTTAAAAAAAATGCTGAAGTGAAGTTAATGTTTTTAATTATATATCATACTCTATTTATACAGAAATATATATTTATCCCTTTGGCATGATTCAAAAGTCCAAAAGTATGAATTTTAAAAGAAAAAAAGTAATCTTTAGTTTGAATGTTCAGGAATATGACAATGTATAAATCAAACTAAATTAAGCAGAATTTAGTTTTTTATATTGATCAGATTGAAATGGACTAACATTTACCAGTAAAACTATTTCCCTAAGTCATACACAGTATTGTAAACCATTGTTAACTTACTGAAGAAAAAAGTTATAGGAAAAAAATAAAAAAAAACTCTACTGCATTTATGTTTATAACCAAAAATTTACTCATTTTGAAAAACTATCTTTATTTCTTTAATAAAGACCTATAAAGTGTTATGCAACATGCAAAAGCAATCACCAATCATGGCTTTTCCTAGTGAATTAGATGGCTAATTCCCAATGAAATTGATGCAGTTACAAATGACTGGTCTCTCAGATAACAACAAGATTGTCTTCTCCCATCTCTTACAATTTCCCCCCTATTTGACAGGTTTGCCTTCTTTATGACTAGTATCTCAGATAAGCATTAACAAGTTTGTCTTTCCCATATTTCTTGCAATTTCCCCCTTGTATGACAGTTTTGTCTTCTTGCATTCCAAGGAAAAGGGAGCTAAACATCAGTTGCTGAAAAAACCAAACTGTTGCAAATTGCATGTGTTTGCAGCAACATGGATGGAGCTGGAAGGGATCATGCTCAGCGAAATAAGCCAGAAAGAAAAAGAAAAATACCGGATGGTCTCACTCATAGCAGGAATCTAGAAAACTTAAATAAGGGACCAGGAAAAAGAATAACTATAAGAAAGAAAATATCAAAATCAACAAACAACTACGAACCAGAGACACTCTATGGGGTGTGGGGGGCGGGGAAAGGAGGGCTTGGGGTCAAAATAAGGGGTTTGCAATTGTATGGGGAATATAAAAAATAAAATTTAAATAAAATGTGAAAAAAAGATAAATCCAGTAAAAAAAAAAAAAAAAGCCAAGCTGGTACCCACCTGTCTCCATGCAGACCCCTTCCCCCTCTCCTTTGCAGACCCTTGCCTATCTCCCCCACTTTTTTTTCCTTTGTATAAATACCACTGCACTCTGCCAAAGAGTAGGACAGTGGTCTTTCAGACATGAGTTTGCTGCCCTCCTCATTTGTCAACAAATTAAACCACTTTCCTTTTCCTTAAACTCTGTTTTCTTTTATTGGCTGAGGGAAACTGAGACTGGCTTTTGGTATCAAAGTTGCATGATTCTTTCAATTAGTTTTAGTAAATATTTTCATCATTCTAGTTTATGATGAATTACAAAGTTACAAAAATGTCCAAATAAACCATACAGTCCATTTATCTTCTAAAAATAATCAGAAATAGAAACTTGATTGGATGATAAATATTAAATGTCACATATTAACAAAATACTTTTGTTAAGATTTGAATGTCAAATATACTCTTTCTAATCCAGTATATAATAAACATATGATATACAAAATATAGTAATATTTTGTATATAATGAATAAATATTTCTATTTATTCTTCCTTATCAAGAAATGAGTATGTCAAATATACTCTCAAAACTCAGCTGGCAAAAGAGATGGATAATAAACACTAACATAACCAGTTCATTTTCATAAAACAAATAATAAGTGAGGATAAACAGTCAGGTATTCCTACTCATGTACAATCATATGAAAAGGGAATAATCAAAAAACTAGCGTAGTGATAATCAGCTTTCCTTTGGTGTCACATCATGTATCTGCATTTTGTAAAATAAACCTGTAGGGTAGTAAGGCTCAGGATCAACATATTTAGACATCAAAATGTTATTAACAAAAGAAACGAAAGCCTACTTATTCCATCATCATTAGGAAAAAGCAATACTTAAACATTTGCACTGGCTTCTTTCAGAAAATCTACTACTCCATTCTAATCACAACTGAGGGTTTCAGATGAAAATCTGGGAGAGCATGGTGACTTTCTCACAAGTGCTCAGGAAGTGACTTTTCACTGATAGCTTACTGCAGTTTCATCAACAGCACTAAACTAAAACAACTCACGGTCTATTTTCTGTTGACCATGGGTCAAAAGTATCAATATTATAAATCTACTATTTTTGTTTTTGTCACTCAAGACAAAAATTGGAAAGCAAATCAGATATCATATCATGGTATTGTTCAAAAAAGACAAGAAAGCCATGAAATTGGTCATCTAGTAGAATCCATTTTTTTCTTTAAGGAGAAATAAGGTTAGTGTAGATAAATTTTATTTGAATGTTATACTAATATCTTTTCTTCTTCTTACACTTCTGGAACTTCTGGTTATATTTGTTTCCTCTATTGTTTTCTGTGCTACTATCACTATCACTATTTTGGTTTTGCCTCTTTCGTTTGTTGGTCTGATAAAGGTCAGAGTCACTTTGTTGTTGGTAAGTCCATTCACAAGAGCTGGGTCCAGCCTCTCGATCTTGAACAGGATTTAGGGATGAGGCCACGGATGTGCTATTAGGAAGTGGTGCTGTCATCTCATAGTAAGGCAGCTGCAGCGCAGGATTAAATGTGTGCCACTGCTGGGAAAGAAAGACATTCATCTACCAAAAGAAGCCCAAAACATTTTAAAAAAGTCAACAGTTTACCAGATCAAAGCAAGCCATGTGTTAGTGTAAGAAGGACAGTGACTTCATAGTGGGGTCGTGGTAGTTTTTTAAACGGTTAACATAAAGATTTAAGGTCATGTGTAGTTTACTACAATACAGATTAGTGTTGTCTTATAGAAATTAAATGCCAGGGGCATATGCAGTTTTAAATCTTCTAGTAGCTAGAATGTGAAAATTAAAAATGAAGCAGGTACAAATAAACTAGGTATTTTATTTATACCAAAATATTTCAAAGTCATTTTAACATGTAACCAATGAGACATTCTGCTTTCTTAAAAACATTATTAACTTTCAAAATCTGGTATGCATTTTATACTTACAGTAAATCTCAATTTGGAAGCTAAATTTCCATTGAAAATAGCTAATTTGCATTTAGATGACATAAAATTTATAGTTGAAAATGTAGATTCACACACCTAAATTTTTTCAAGTATACTTAAAATTTTTTTCAATAACTGAAACAAGTATCTGTTTTTCAATTAAAATTAAAAATTAAAAACTCTGCTTCTTAGTCTCACATGTGGCTAATGGTCACCACATTGCACAGCACACTTGTCAATTAAGAGACACTTCCCTATTTTTAAATTAGTTTTGAACTCAAACTTTTAACTATTCAAAGTAGTTACAGTGATAACATGAGCTTGTGGGGGGGGGTGTGTGCACGTGTGATTTCTCTTAATATTAAAAAATGCTAGGAAGAGGGCCTCCCTGGTGGCGGAAGTGGTTGAGCACAGCGCTGTGAAGCTGTCTGCAGCCTCCGCAGCGAGGGTTCGAGCCCGGCCAGCCAGCGAGATACACACATGGCACGGCAGACATCTTCTGTCTTGCCTGCTGCTCCCCTCAGAAGTGTATTTCAGTCAGTCTGCCTGTTCTGTTCCCCACTCTGTCACTGGTGAATACTCTCACCCTCCCGCACCTCTGGCCTGTACCCTGGTTCTTGTATAAATAAATCTTTAAAAAAAATAAAGAAATAACAATTAAAAAAATGCTAGGAAGATATTGACAGTTTGACATCAGAACTCAAATCTCATGTCAACTAACAAAAGATTTTTTTCCAAAAGATTTTTTCACTATTATTTCCAAAATGATATTTGAAAAATCTGAAGCTTATATGTATATCGGATATTTGCAAAAATGATATCCTGTGAATTAGAACACCTCAGTTATAGTCCCACCTCTATCACTAACAAGCTGTATATCATTAAGACCCCTGACCCCAACTTTATTACGTATAAGATGAGGAGTTGGAGAGAAAAGTTTTCTTAAGCTCCCCTTTAATCAAGACTATAATCATGATTTCTAGATCATTCAGTTCTAAAAGATGTCTTTCAACATAGCCATTTAAATGAGAACCCTCAACTCCACTTTTACTTAGACCACAGCATCTCCTCTCTCCCATCTGTCCACTTCCATGTACCACTGGCTGTCTGCTGAGGTCATCTTGTGACTTCCGAGAGGACTAGGTTAGGGTGGATGTCCCCTGGGGGACTGTGCTCAGGGCAGCTTCTGCTTTTATGCAGGTTTTTATTTGAGCACCAAATCATTTTTATAGTCTTCATAGTTGTATCATATTGTAAGTTGAACCAAAGGCATATCAAACTTACCATCTTCTGAAAGGAGAAGAAATCTTGAGGTAAAGCTGCATTGTTGAGTGGAAAGAACTGCATGGGAAAGGGAGATCTGCCCACAATTTCTTCATTTCTTAGGGTAGGTAAAAGAAGAAGTAAATATACAGTTAAAATTCATATGCACAAATATCCTTAAACAATATAGCTTTTTACATTAAAAAAAATAAACTTCTCTGAGAGAAGTTAATATTAGTTTTTTTTTTTAAGATTTATTTATTTATTTATACAAGCACTGGGTACAGTCAGAAGCACAGGAGGGTGAGAGAATTCACCAGAGCCAGAGCAGGGAGCAGAACAGACATACTGATGAAATACACTGCTGAGGGGAGCAGTGGGCACAGCAGGAGAGGTCTGCGCGCCATGTGGGACCCTCACTGGTGTCCGGGGATCGAACCGGTGCTGCAGAGGCTGCGGGCAGCTTCGCAGCCCAACGCTCAACTGCTGCACCACTGGAGAGGCCCTTACTTTATTTTTTTTGAAGATTTATTTATTTATGCATATAAAAGCTGGGGTATAGGCCAGAGGTGCGGGGTGGTGTGTGTGTGTGAGAGGATTCATCACAGACATAGTGGAGAGCAGAACAGGCAGACCTACTGAAATAAATTGCCCAGGGGATCAGCGGGTGAGACAGGAGAGGTCTGCTGCACCATGTGGGTTACCTCCCTGGCCGGGGACAAACTCTTGCTGCTATAGCAGCAGATAGCTTCATAGTACTGATGCTTAACCCCTTTCACCACCAGGGAGGCCCCAATATTAGTTTACTTTAAACATACATAATTATACAGATAATATTAATTATCACATATTGAAATTTCAATATTTAGAGTATCATTTGGCTTTGTGATAGGAAAATATGAAATAATACTATATGGGACAAAGAACAGTTAGATATGAAGAGAGCAAAGCAAGCTATTAATAATCACCCAGGGTACATTCGACCTTGTACAGATACAAAAAGTAAAAGAAAAATTTCCATTCATTTTTGAAGATCTCTGTAATGCTTATGAAAATTAGGTTCTTTCTAAATGGACTGCTGATGTTAAATTGAACACATGTTTGCTGATTCCTTTTGTACATTAATTAAGAGTATAAAAGTCCCTAATTTAAAAACTGCTTAGTTTCATTTACAAATGTACTATTTGTTTCTATGGAGACATTCAATCAATGTGTGTTACATATAATGGCTAGATTTCATGGTGAGTCATCATTAATCTACTTGTTCTACAGTATACCAAAATGTTAGTGTTAGACTCTTAGTCCTTTCAACAGAAGGTCTACTTTGGAGGGGCTAAGGGAAGTGAAAGCCATGCAGGCAGGTAGAGGCAAAGATGAGGATAGGAGAACCACATGGGAATCAAGTCAAGTGGACAGTCGTAGAGCCCATTTATAAGTGGCAAGAGAAACCAGTGGAAGAGTAAATTTCATTAAGGAAGGCAGTACACAGGTATCTGTTGTATTAGAGTAAATTGGATAAGCAAGAAGTCACAGAATTCTTGATCAACAGGGTTAAGAAGAGAATAGGAAGTAGGATATGAAGGATAAATGATTTTTCAGTGATAAGACAGGAAAAACATAACACCCTGATTACGAGACAGTATTCAGGAAAACCAGGACATGTATGTGGAGTAACTAATAATCAGAAAACAAAAGGTACAATGAGGTTACAGTGTGGGAAAGAGATGACTTTAGTAGTAGAGGGTGAGATCTGCAATATTATGAAAACAGAAGCAGATTTTTTAAATCTCTGCCTTATGTGAATTTCAGAGCATTATAGTTGTCTGTGAAGAGGAATCAGACATAAATAGGGAGTGGTAAAAAACTGAATTATGTCTGCACCCAGCACCTCAAAATATGACTTTATTTGGAAAGACAGCTGTTGCAGATGTAATTAGTTAAGAGGAGGTCACATTCAGGCAGGAATGGCCCCTCATCTGGGAAGATTGGTGTTCCTAAAACAGGACATTTGGAGACAGACATACACAGGGAGAAGACCACATGAAGATGAAAGCAGAGATCTGGGTGAATTTCTATACCCCAAGGGATATCAAAGATCACCCACAGACCATGAGGAGGTAGGGGACAGGCCTGGGATAGATTCTTCCTCATCACCCATCGAAGGAAGTAACCTAACCCCACTGACACCTTGATCTTGGACTTCTGACTTCTGGGACTGTGAGACAATAGTTTGTGGTACTTTGTTATAGCAATCCTAGTAAAAAAAATACCAGAATTACTCATTAATAACAACAAGTAAAAGTGGCAGTAAGGAGCACAAAATCCATTTCCAAGAAGGACCAGTGAAAGGCTAGGTTTTTATTATTATTATTATTATTATCTTAAAGATTTATCTATGCATACAACTGGGGTACAGGTCAGAGGTGGGGGGCGGTGAGAGGATTCACCAGAGATGGAGTGGGGAGAAGAACAGGCAGACTGACTGAAATATACTGCTGAGGGGAGCAGCGGGCGAGTCAGGAGAGGTCTGTGAGTCAGGAAAGGTCACCTCCCTGGCCGGGGATCAAACTTGTGCTGCAGTGGCTGTGGATAGCTTCATAGGTTGCATCTTAACCCCTCATGCCTCCAGGGAAGCCCCAAGGCTAGGTTATTAATGGGCACATCTTCTAGGACATGGTTATCTATTCCTCCTTTATAAAGTAACAAATGCCAGAAGAATAAAGTATTACCAATGAAGTGTATCATTATGGAATATACACAATTCTTATTTTCAACACTAGCCTGTGTGATGATTTAAAAAACAGAATACAAGAGTCACACTCACATCCACTAGTGTTTTTCTAGTCTTTCCTCTTCTACCCAAAATCCTAGCAGTATATTCTTTCCCCCTAACTTCTGAGGAAAAAGAGGTTTACTTTTCCACTCAAAGATGAGGCGAAGCTCATAACAAGCTGCTCAATTTCTCAGTGTAAGGTGCTTCCCCTACCGAAGTAGTGAATCACTCCCCTCTTTTTTGCTAACATTCCCTGAAAGTATTCACTGAATTCTGGTTATGGACCCACTATTTTAAACACATTGAATTTATTATAAAATGAATTTCTCACAAATTTTTTAGATACTATAGTCACTTTAAAGATAGGTTGCTGAGTAGTGAAGTAACTTGCCCAAGTCATACGGTTAGTAAAGTAGCAAAAGTAGAATTTAAATTCAGGTCATCTTATTTTGGCACCTACTTTCTTACCTTCTCCTCATTTCACTATTAGAAATGCTGTGGAGAATGAAAATGTGGAGCACACTGAGTTTCATTTGGAGTGTGATACTTTTTGTAAAGAAAAGCCAGTCTCAAGAGCCACTCTAGGTCTCAGAGGGCTGATACAATTAACAGGGAGAGGAGACCGAGCTTTTCAGTTTATTTGAGTATATTCAGTTCTGCTATAGAAGACAAGATAACAAGCAGGATGGCTGAAACTCATAAGACATGCTCAGAGTAGACTTTAGGCAAGGTAATAACGTATGAGATAACAATGAAACTGTGTTAGGGGATAGACTGGGAGACACAAGCATATACAGATATATATTATAGAAAGTAAATGAGTCATGGGCCTCGTGGGTGGCACAAGGGGCTAAGTTTCAGTACAATGAAGTTATCAGCAGCCACTGCAGCATGAATTCAATCCCAGTCCAGGGAGCTAACCCACATGGCGCAGCAGACCTCTCCTGACTCGCCCGCTGCTTCCCTCAGCAGTGCATTTTAGACAATCTGCCTGTTCTGTTCCCCACTCTGTCTCTGGTGAATCCTCTCACCCCCCACACCTCTGACCTGTACTCTAGTTCTCATGTGCATAAATAAAATAAATCCTAAACAAATTTAAAAAAGGATAATAGTTATTTCTAAGATCTATCACACCCAGACCTTTGATGCTGAAATGATTTAACAGCTATCATAAGCACATGGTAAATACAAAGAACACTATAGAAGTGAATCTCATCTACTGCTAAAAATACTGATTGAACTATAAGTCAAAAAGCGTTTTTTGTCACTTTTCATGTATTCAGAAAAATGAATTCTTAATTTTTCTTATGTCTAAGTGGTAAGGTTTTACAATAGTTCAGAATATATAAAAAACTCTTCATGACACAAGAACATATTTACTTGTTTAACCTTCAAGAAAACGATTTTTTTTTGATTACCTGTAACTCTGTGAATTTATCTTAATGTAGCTCTCAAAACTTTGGTTAGCTGGTTCAGAAGAGCGAGAACTCCCTGTAAAAGTAACAATGATACATTACTTCATGGTATAATTTTTTGGAGATGTAATATTAAAACATTAACAATCTCTAAAAGGATATAGTATTGATTAAAATGCCATATACGCATAACATACATGGATATGTCTTTGAGCTCTCCAGTGATATTTATATTATAGTAATATAGGGGCCGCCCAGGTGGCATAGAGGTTGGGTCTCAGTGCTTTCACTGAGATGGCCTGGTTTTGATCCTTTGTCTGGGAGGTGGCCCACATACAGTGGGGCGGACCTCTCCTGTCTCTCCTGCCGGTCTCTTCAGCAGTGTATTTCAGTCAGTCTGCCTGTTGTGCTCCCCACTCTGTCACTGGTGGATTCCCTCACCTGCCTCCTCCATCTGGCCTCTATCCCATTCTTGTATGTATAAATAAATAAAAAATCTTTATATTATAGTAATATATATATATGATTGTAAGATTGTAATGTGAGATAGCTATATTAGTATAAATGATTGAATTACACTTAAGCTTTGTCCAAAACAATGGCTGTACAAGAGCATTATATTGACAGGGGACCATAAAAGATACACAGTTATGCTTGGTCTACATATCTGTCAACTAAATATGGCAAATAATCTGCCTCCCATACAAGACATGGATTCTCTAAACTGTACTGGGAAAAGCCAATAAAACCTTACATAAGATGCAGGGCTGCTGACTAGAGCGATGTGTCAGAACATAATGACCTGGTCCATTCTACCTGCCTGTATGAGTCAACTGACAGTACTTGAGAGCATGCTGTAGTCAGTTTTCTTTGCAAAGACATTAAAAGAGAGAGAGAGAAATACAAAGCAAAAACTTTTCCTTTGCAATAAAACATTATATTGGTTTCTTATTTGTTTGCTTTTAATATATCAAGAAAATGAAAAGCAAGCAAATATGTGAGATTCTGGTAAATCTGAATCATTTAGTGGAGGTAGGCAACAGAAGGACTGCAAACAGTGCAACATCAGCATAAGCACTACCTCTGTCAGTACTTCAAAATGTGAAAGAGCTAGAGTAACAGCACCTTATCAAAGATGGTAAGTTCTTGACATGTGCAGAAGACACTTGAGGCCACTTTCCTCCATGGCTATTAAGGGCTACTCTGCAGCTGCCTTTGGCCAGTTCTCTTAGAGTGGTTGAGGTCCAGGACATTCTGTAAACTTGCTTTCCCCAAGAGAAAGACAAGGCATACATCCTGTCTTCCAAATAGTAAGTGTTTGATACTGTACATTAAAGACAAGACCAGCAAACCATCTTGCTGCATTAAAGCTAGAATGTGTGTCCCCAGTTGATACATATATTTTTTAAAGATTTATTTATGCATACAAGAACTGGGGTGTAGGGCAGAGGTTCAGGTTGGGTGAGAGGATTCACCAGAGACAGAGTGGGAAGCTAAACAGGCAGATCTACTGAAATACACTGCTGAGGGGAGCAGTGGGTGAGACAGGAGAGGTCTGCTGTGCCATGTGGGTCAGCTCTCCGCCTCAGGATCAAACTTGTGCTGCAATGGCTGGCAATAGCTTGATATCACTGTGTCTTCAACCCTTGTACCACCAGGGAGGCCTCTCCATTCATATTTTTTTAATTGATAGAAGCCAATAGAAACTCTCATGGCTACTTGCTGGCTGATAGTAAAATGGAACATTTTAAATTTTATTTTATTATTTATTTAAAGATTTATTTCTATGTATGCATACAAGAACTGGGGTGTAGGCAAGAGGTATTGGGGGGGTTAGAGGATTCACCAGAGACAGAGTGGGGAGCAGAATAGGAGGATCTACTGAAACACACTGCTGAGGGAGCAGTGGGTGAGACAGGAGAGGTCTGCTGTGCCATGTGGGTAGCTCCCTGGCCAGGGATCAAACTCATGCTGCAGTGGCTGCCCATAACTTGATAGCACTGACTTTAACCCCTGTGCCAGGGAGGCCCCATTTTAAATTTTAGCACAGAAGAGATGCTACAGAGTTCACAATGTAATTGGCAATAGAAATTCTACAGCATTGTGAATACCTGTGCATGTTATGACCAACGGTACTTTTCTGGCCTTAGGCTACATACAAAAATGTACACTAGATACATACAAAACAAACTGCTTACATTACTGAGAACAACACCAACAACAAAGCACACTTGGAAGAGTCACCAGTGACAGAACCTACCAAATCGGTACTGCACATTAATTGGTCTTCCATATAAGCGAATTCCATTCAGCAAAGCTATGGCATAAGACACGGATTCTGGGTGTTTAAAGCAGACAAATCCAAAAGACTTCGGCTTTCCTTCTCTGTCTTTGCATATAGTCACTTTGGTTAATGGCCCAGCCTATAAGAAACTTAAAAATTATTTTCTCATAAATCTAAGGATTTCTTTACACTCAGATAAATCAAGTATATTCACTTTAGACTCAAAAAAAAATCTGCTAATAGCACTAAGGTAACATGGCTAATAATGTATTTTCGTAACAATAAATATCATATTTTCTTGGCATTTTCTGGCTCATCAAAGAAACATCATAGTGTTATGGACATGAAATTTTAAACACTAGTACCAACTCTTAAAGCGATTTTGAGAGCACTTACATCTAAGATTAAACTACTACTTTGGGGCCTCCCCTGGTGGCGCAGCGGTTGAGCACTGGGCTGCGAGGCTGCCTGCAGCCTCTGCAGCGCCGGTTCATTGCCCAGCCACCGCAAAGGTCCCACAAAAAAAAAAAAAAATTACTACTTTGTTTCCATACATATGAGCAGTGTATAAGTAAAAAATCATTTAAAAAAAATCCACTGTTGGTTGAATTATATAAAAAAAGTAACATCATATTACAGTCTATTTTTTTCTGTCAATAATATTAAAAAATATTGACAAGAGAAACAAATTACTTTATATTCTGAGCTAATAATCCCACTTAGGAAATATTCCCAAAGGGAAAATATTTTAGTATGCTTAGGTGTTTTGAGTAGTACATTATTTAGAAGAGTGAAAAATTAGAAAGGTTCTAAATATTACAGCTACATAATATTATACCATAGTATGTTATTAAATGGCATAAAATAACATAAATTAAAAATATTCAAATTGTATCAATAGTAAGACCTATAATTAGCATTACAAAGTTACAAAGCATTACAAAGAAACAAATATTGTAAAAAAAACTCAATTACTACTTCGAAAAAATTATATCCATCATGCTAATAATCAAAGAAGGAACTCACAAAGATGAACAACCAAGATTTAATGGTGAAATATTCATACTTATTAATTGTACTTTAATGACTGATTGTTTTTTTTTCCAAAGATTTATTTTATTTATACAAGAGGTGGGGTTTAGGTCAGAGGCATGGGAGGGTGAGAGGATTCACCAGAGACAGAGCAGGGAGCAGAACAGGCAAACTGACTGAAGTACACTGCCGAGGGGAGCAGCGGGCGAGACAGGAGTAGCTCCTGTGAGTAGCTCCCTGGCTACGCTGCAGAAGCTGCAGACAGCTTCACAGCGCTGTGCTCAACCCACTGTGGCAGTGGGGAGGCCCTGACTGCTTTTATTTATAGAGCTGGATAAATATATTCACAAACTGCTTTTAATCTAAAGATAAATTTTCATCTTTAAAATGATGTATATTTTAGGATCAAGTTTTTCTCTTAAAATACCCTGCTTTCCCAGTCACTAGCTTATTCTCCCTCCTGGCTTCAAGGACTACCTCATCCATAAATTGATTTTTCCTATTCATGCCTTTATCATGGAAACAAGTCTCCTAGTGACCTCTGTGTGATTGTACTTCCAACTGAACATATTTGAAACTGAATTCATTGTTTTCCCTTGAAAATCCCTATTCCAATATTCTGTAGTTAGAACTACAAAGATTTTAAAACTTATTTTCTTATCAAAGGGTAGTCAGAAATTTGTAAAAGGATAACATACAATAATAAAACCAATTTTAATCAGTGCTTTTTTCACTACGGATAGTATATGTGAAATCACAAAGGGATGGGATATGCTCAGATGTCTTAAATTTTACAAACTCAAAGATATGTTACATCATTTTCAAAAATAAAAATTTAACAAGAGAACTTTCTTGGGCCTCCCCGGTGGTGCAGTGGATTGAGCGCGGCGCTGTGAATCTGTCCACAGCCTCTGCAGCGCTGGTTCAATTCCCAGCCAGCCAGGAAGATTCCCACATGGCACTGCAGACCTCTCCTGTCACACCCACTGCTCCCTCCCCTCAGCAGTGCTTTCTGTCTGCCTGTTCTACTACCCACTCTGTCTCTGGTGAATCCTCTCACCCTCTTGTGCCTCTGGCCTGTACCCCAGCTACTGTATAAATAAAAAATCTTTTTTTTTTTAAAAAGAGGACTTTCTTGTAGCAACAATCACATCATTATAGTCTTTCTTTTTCTTTTTTTTTTTTTTTAATACAAGAGCTGGGGTACAGGCCAGAGGTGTGGGAGGGTGAGAGGATTCACCAGAGACAGAGCAGGGAGCAGAACAGCCTAGGACTGAAATACACTGCTGAGGGGAGCAACGGGTGAGACAGGTGAGGTCTGCCACATCCTGTGGGAATCTCCCCGGCTGGCTGGGAATTGAACCCGTGCTTCACAGCGCTGCGCTCAACCTGCTGCATCAACAGGGAGGCCCCCTTATAGTTTTTCAACCAGAATGAAGCACATAATTTTGTAGTTGTAAGGATTTCCTAGGTTTTTGACTTTTTAACAGATACCTCACTTTAGCAAATCCTTCCAGAATAAAGAATGACATAAGCACAAGGGTTTATGGTGATGGTGAATTGGTGGTGGAAATTCTATGGGGACTACACCTGAGAAAAGAAAGCAAACATTGTACAAAAGTGAATAATGATGTAAAATATATACAAATAAATAAATTATAAAAAAACAAACACACACACACACACAACGGCAGAGCTTCTCAAAAATCAAATAAAAGTCCCCTTCAGTTTCATTCAGTCCTGGAAACTTAGCTCTGCTATTGTCTTATTTGGAACTTGCCCTTATTCAAAATTCAGTGAAGTCACTCTGTCTTGATTTCTCTTGACATTAAGTTTTAGTAGTATTAACTACTAGTACTAACAGCAGCAAACACATAGCAAATTCCATATTTAGTTTTAACTGTTTTACCAGGATTAGTTAATTTAATCCTTATCATATTGTAGATATTATTACTCCCCTTGGAAAGTTGAGGAAACTTGAGGCATTGAGCTATTATTCATTTATGTGCTGACATCACTCTAAAATGATTCTGCTATAAATGTGTTCCCTCCCATTTGTAGATTACCCTAAATCATGTTAATCATTTTAAATATTCAGGGCATCCCCTGGTGGCGCAGGTGGTTGAGCGCAGCGCTGTGAGGCTGTCTGCAGCCTCTGCAGCGCGGGTTCAATCCCTGGCGGCAGCCGCCGAGGGTCCCACAGGGCGTGGCAGACCTCTCCTGTTGCAACCGCTGCTCCCCTCAGCAGTGTGTTTCAGTCTGTCTGCCTGTTCTGTTCCCTGCTCCGTCTCTGGTGAGTCCTCTCACCCTCCCACGCGTCTGACCTGTATCCCTGTTCTTGTATGTATGAATAAATAAATCTTTTAAAAAATAATAATTTTAAACATTCCCTTTTAGAAAGAACATAAATTGTCTCTTAATTTGTATGCTTAGCACCTTACTTAATGTTTCATAAGTAATTCTGGATCACTGAACGGTTAGACGAATGGCTGAACAAAGGTATCTCTTTAGCAAGTGACACCTAGCAGTACCTGACAGGTGAGTGCTTATAGAAGATCCAGTTCCTAAAAGTTTCCAGAAAGTCCTTTTTATATGAAAACAGGGGATTAGTGGGGAATCAGCTGACCGCAGTTCAGATTTGGCTTCTCAAATCTCATGTATGTGCTGGAGTAAAAATACCTGCCACAAAAAGGGCTTGGGGGAGTTAGGTAATGAATAGGAAACGATTTCAATATCTTATTTCCTATGATATGTGGCCTGAGAGTGTCTACTGCCCGAAGGAAGCCACTGACAGGGCGGTTTTCTTTTGGCTTCAGCACACGCAGGGCCAAGCAGCTTCCAAGAAGCCCTTACTCAGGGTTGGGGGTTGGGGGCAGCCCAGACAACCTACGCCCAGGACACCGCAGTAAAGATGGGGACGACTTCACCAGCCAGTCGCTCACCTGGAGGCAGGTGCGCTAAGGAGGAACTAACTTAAAACCAAGGCGTAGCAGGGGAGGGGGCTCAGGGAGATCCAGGTGCGCCCCGCCCCTCCGATCGCGGTTCCGACCCTGCGCGCCCGGCCCCTCCGCCGGCCCTTCCCGACCACTGTACCTGAAGGAACAGCTCGTAAAGGATCTCCTCCCGCACACGGGGCTCTAGATTTCCCACAAACACCGTCCTGTCGGCCTCTTCCTGAGCTGGGAACATCCCTCCGGTCTCTTCCCGAGGATGGAGGAGGCACCTAGGCCCCGCCCCTTCTCCTGGTTTTACTGCGCTGTCCGAGGAGGGGGCGGGGCCAGGGACGAGAGTACGCACGCCGGGCGGGGCGAGGCTGCGGGGACACGCCCCCATCCCCGAGGGACCCGCCCCCACCCCCGAGGGACCCGCCCCCACCCCCGCGGGACCCGCCCCCACCCCGCGGGACCCGCCCCCATCCCCGCGGGACCCGCTCGGTGAGCGCCCGCCACTCCGCGGTGGGGCTGGGACCCAAGCAATGAGTAAAGCAAAGATTGGGTGCAAAGGCCTTCCCTCTCGTGGAGGTGTCCCCCATTTCCATGTCGCGACATTATTAATTGATTTTAGATGTCTTCAACCAACTAACATTTTAAACTAAATTTCTATAGAGATAATTTAAGACAGTAATTGTATTGCAGAAGTTCCCAGGCTGCAAAAGAGCAATTTCTTGTTTCCAGACGTTAAATAAACTGACTTTTAGGATTTTTTTTTTGAAGATTTTATTTATGCATGCAAGAACTGGGGTGTACACCAGAGGTATGGGGGGGATGAGAGGATTCACCAGAGACAGTGGGGAGCAGAACAGACTGATCTACTGAAACACACAACTGAAGGCAGGAGAGGTCTACTGTGCCATGTGGGTTAGCTCCTTGATTGGGATGGAATTTATGACACATGCAGCAGTGGCTCTAATAACTTGATAGCGCTGAGACTTAACCACTGTGCCACCAGGCAGGCCCTAAGTCATTTGGATTTTATAATTATTTTCTTCATTAAATGATTTTTGAAGGAATGACTGCATGCACGCATGGACATGGATCCACAAGAATACTGGAATTAAAGTTTAGGAAGTGCTCCTCAGAGGCCTCTGAAAATAACCACCAGGTTTTGGTCACCACCAGGAGGCATTTGAACTTGAAAACAGCTTATACTAAGGAGTAACAGCGCATTTTGTGATGGAAGCCGGAATTCTTGAATATGGCTCCTGGGTCTTTGTAGTAGGATCCAATACTTGTATTTTATAACAAAGGTGTACTTTGTATACTGTGTTCCAGGGTAAAGAGTGAATTCTTACTTTAGGAAGATTTTGAAAAGTAAAAAAGTAATTTTAAAAAAGGCAAAAAAAAAAAACCATGCTCAGAATGTCAGCACTTTGATAAATCAGTTGTCAATGGTGAAGTTCACTTCCTTTCTGAAGACACCATATGTCTACATAGAGCCCTGAAATCATCCTGTAAATATATAAGTAATTGGGACACCTTTTGGTCTTTAGTTGGGCATGATGATAATTCATTTTGAATTGAGGAGGCATGCGTTTACTTGCTTGGTGGACCAAAAAAATCATCTTTTCTAATGAAAAACAACACATCTTTGCAACCCTGATTTCTGATGAATTCTGATGTTATTTAATTTTATGACTTTAGTTAGTTTCATATTTGGAATTCAGGTTCTATTTCCTAATGAATGAAGTGTACTAAAATAACTACTTTATTTAATAGGTATTTTCTGGGCGATTATTTGGTTCCAGGTATTGTCTTTAATTCATGGGAAACAATGGTAAGTGTGAAAATCAGCCTATAAAGAAAGCTTATAGCATAATGGGAGCTACAGATTTTTTTACACTTATAAATGCAAAATAATGTGCCAGTAACTTCAACAGTGACCGTTCTGCTGACATATGGTGTCTGTAAGTCCTGTGTCCACCTTTTCTTTCTTTCCACTCTTATCAAAATTGTTGTAGTAGGGGCCTCCCTGGTGGCCTAAGGGTTAAGTCTCTGCATTATCAAGCAATGGCTGGTCACTGCAGCAAGAAGAGTTCAATCTCTTGCCATGAAACTAACCCACCTATGGTACAACAGACCTCTCCTATCTCACCTGCTGTTCCCCTTAGCAGTGTATTTCAGTAGCCTGTTCTGCTCCCCACTCTGTCTCTGGTGAATCTTCTCACACACACACCCCTTCTGGTCTACACCCCAGTTCTTGTATGCATAAATAAATAAAATAAATCTTTAAAAAAAATGTTACAGAAAGTTAGGAGGGAGTCAAGGAAACTAGCCTATGGTAGACATGTAACAAATACAGTTGATCAAATGAATGGATACTGGCACGTCTTTATTCAGTGTAGAGCTATTTGTATGTTTTTATTCATCTACTTAACAAACCTTATTGAAAGCAGCACATTTCCTTTTTAACATCACCTCAAACACTTCCCGTGGAAACTGTACCTTTAGGTTTCATTGTGAAATATGCAATGTGTATATATGATTTTGAATTCTATAAGCCTTTTCTATATTTATAAATAGTAATGATCCTGTTATCTTGCTACATTAAAATTTGCATCATTGTCTACAATTGTGCGATATTTGGGTATTCTTATCACATCCTCTTTTCATTAGACAGTTCATAGTTTAATGTGTTTATAATTGTAGAGTGCTTATTTAATGTTACAAGTTCTGGAAGTCAGTTATGCTGTTTATTTAGAATTTTATCTGTTTAACATTTTTCTAATGTAAGTGTATTGTATTTCCTAACTCATATTGAATGTTTGCATGGCAATTAGCCTAGCAGTATCTAAAAAGAATACAATTTACTCTCAATATTTGTATGACTTTTAGTCACATAAAGGGTTTAATAGGTTAAATATATGGAACACTATAAAGAATTAGCTTTTTTACTCATATCAGGATGTCATACACTGAAGTATATGAATATAAAAATAAAAATGTTAACCTATATATAATGTTTATGTATATTTATATATAATGCATATTATATATAAAAGCTGTATATTTAAGCTAGAGTACCTTTCTCTCTTCTTTTCCCAGGTGACTCTTAATCTCTTTTATAGTTCAGCTTAGGCAGCATCTCTTAAAATACTTCCCTGGACTCTGAATACTAGATTGGCTTTCTCCCTCACCGCATGTTTTGTAGCCTCCTGGGTATATATACTTCTTTCTTTTAAAGATTTTATTTATTTATTTTTGCATACAAGAACTGGGGTATAGGCCAGAGGTGCAGGGGGGAGGGGTGTGAGAGGGTTCATCAGAGACAGAGTGGGCATCAGAACAGGCAGATCTCCTGAATACACTACTAAGGGGAGCAGCAGATGAGATAGGAGTCTGCTGTGCCATGTGGGTTAGCTCCCTGGCCGGGGATGGTGATAGCGCTGAGACTTAACCCCTAGGCCACCGTGAGACCCAGAGGTATGCTCTTTTCAAACTGTTCTCACTGTGAAATACTCAGGGGTAAATATCTTTCAGTACTTGGGACAATCTCACATATATGTGGATGTATAGTTAATGGTGAAATAATACAGTGAATAATAAGTGAATGACTCTGTCTAACAACTAAGTCATGCTTAGAAATCAGTAGAAACAAATGGATGAACAAATGAATGCGTGCATAAATGCTGTAAGGAACGCTAGTGAATACTTTTTTTTTTAAAGATTTATTTATGCATACCAGAAGGTGGGGTACAGGTAGAGGTGTTGGGGGGTGAGAGGATTCAACAGAGACAGAGTGGGGAACAGAACAGGCAGATCGACTGAAGTACACTGCTGACAGGAGCAGCAGGCGAGTCAGGAGAGGTCTGCTGCACCATGTGGGTATCTCCCTGGCTGGGGATCGCACTTGTGCTGCAGTGGCTGCGGATAGCTTCATAGATTGTGTCTTAACCCCTTGCACCACCAGGGAGGCCTGCTAGTGAATACTTAAAAAAAAAAAATTGACCTTACATTTGTCTTCACTTTTTTTCCTTACCCTCATTTTGTCTTTAGTCTGATTTTCTTAATCATATTTGTCCCTTGTAAATAGAGCTTTTTGTTGTTTTACTTATTTGGATGTTTATTGTAAGATAAATACTTTTAATATCTAAAGAAAGAGATAGAAGGTGAATTTATTTATTTATTTTAATTTTTCTAATCAAATTGTGGCAGTGGCAGCCTTTTAAAAAAGAAGTGTCACATAAAATTCTCAGAAGTTATGCAGGCCAAAATAATGATGACATTTCTTGACTAGTTAAAATTTTGATGAGTTTTAATGAATACCTCATTTTGTTGTGGATTCTCTGAAACATTTCTCCAGAACAAAGACTGATATATGAGGTAAACTGCCTTAAACCATCTTTAGAAACTTCAACGTATTTCCAGAAAACAAATTTAATTTTTTTTTCATATTTAAAGAACAGGTTTATTAGGGAAGGGATAAAACAATTAAAGACACTTGCATAGACACAAGCGGGCAGGAAGAGCTGCCCCAGAAGGGACAGGTTAGTTAAGAGAGGCCTGCGTGGTTGCAGGCTGGCTGCCTTGACAGGTCATGGGCAGGCAGGAGGCTGCTGTCCTGCAGAGGGAGAGAGTTGGTGAAAAGAGGCACCTGCATATTCACAGGTGGGCAGTGGGAGTGCTGCCAGCAGATTTAATTTTTGAACTTAGAATGCATCTACTTAAAACAGTTCTCTGTTTTCCTTGCCTACTACAATCCATTAGTAGAATAAAAATAAATGATTATGTAAACATGTGAAAAGTTTAAAATAACTTAAAAATGATTTAAAAATGACTGTCATATTACAAACAAAACTGCTTTTATTTTTAAATTGTAGATCTCAAGAGACAGGCTATGATTTTGAATTTTAAAATAGCCACTGAGTTTGGGTTGCAAAATGACATAAACATGAAAAGACCATATTTTATACTTGACAGCTTGATGGTTATGGATTTCATTATTGATGTTATGATATATAAAAACAAGTTTGTAATCAAAATGAACATAAAACATAACTTTTTCTGACTCTTTCTATTTCTAGCATTTTTTAATATTACATTTGCTCAAGGCTTTCAACAGACTTATTCTTCCTGACCACTTCTGAAATCCTGAGGTTAACAAGAATAAAAAATATATATAATTAACTTTTTCTTTCCCTTAAATTCAGCTGAAGGTTTGTGACTTATTACAGAGTCCTCGACTTAAAAATCTTTCTCACAACCACAAACTAAATGGAAAAAAGAGAAGCTGCTTCACCTTTTCAACAAATAGGGAGGAGCAAAAAAGCTCAGTCCTTTTACATTCCAACTTAC